TAGGCAATTTATGGTTTGAGCAATGTTTTTTATTTATTTTTATTTATTTTTATTTATTTTTTATTTTTTGTGACGGATTTTTGCTCTTGTTCCCCAGGCTGGAGTGCAATGGCATGATCTTGGCTCACCGCAACCTCTGCCTCCTGGGTTCAGGCAATTCTCCTGCCTCAGCCTCCTGAGTAGCTGAGATTACAGGCACACGCCACCATGCCCAGCTAATTTTTTTGGATTTTTAGTAGAGACGGGGTTTCACCATGTTGACCAGGATGGTCTCGATCTCTCGACCTCGTGATCCACCTGCCTCGGCCTCCCAAAGTGCTGGGATTACAGGCTTGAGCCACCGCGCCTGGCCTTGATCAATGTTTTAATATATTCTCATCAGTTTCCCATACATCACTGTTGTTTATCAGAGAAGAAAAGAATTTACAGATGTCAGGTAACATTCTCAACATTATTCTACTAGAAATGTGGTAAACTGAAACTAGAGCCATAGCGTAGATTCTGAAGCCCTTGGGAGGCCGAGGTGGGCAGATCACCTGACGTCAGGAGTTCAAGACCAGCCTGGACAACATGGTGAAACCCCATCTCTACTAAAAATACAAAAATTAGCTGGGCATGGTGGCGCATGCCTGTATTCCTAGTTACTCTGGATGCTGAGACAGGAGAATTGCTTGAACCTGGGAGGCGAAGGTTACAGTGAGCTGAAATCATGCCACTATTGCACTCCAGCCTGGGCAATAGAGCACGGACTCCATCTCAGAAAATAAATAAATAAATAAAGATTCTGAAGCCCATGGTTCTTTTACTGTGGGTTTAAGTAAAGTGATACCTTCTTATTCCTATTTATTCTTGCTTGGCCAGAAGTCACCCTGAAGTAAACTAATAGTAGCAAACATCTACTGGGAGTTTACAATGGGCCAGGCACTGTGTTAAATATCTTACATGACTTATTTCATTTAATCTTCATAATAACTACTTATGCAGCTGGTGCCATTTTAATTCTCATTTAAAGAAGTGAAAAATGACAAAGGGAGGTTAAATGACTTGCCCAAGAGCACAAGTAGGTGACAGGACTGGAACCTGAACCCAGGTTTTCTGAGTCCTTTGTTTCTAGTCAGGATAGGCATGGCACTGTGGAAGGACAGAAGGGCAAAGAAAGGAGCTAGGAGAATGTCCACAAGGCAGGGACTATGCATCATTCATCCCTATATTCTCCCATTCCATATCACATAGTGCCTGGCACACAGTAAGCAAATTAAAAAAAATGTTGATCGAATTCAATTCACTGCTCAACACAAGTTACTCACTGTAGATTCCTAAGGGTCAGGTTGGTGGGTACTTGCATCTTCTTCCAGAGAAACTGTGCCTACAAGAGAAAGAAAGAGGAGCCACTTCACAGAAGAGACACTGTTCAAGGATACCCCCTAGAGTGGAGAGGCAGGAATGCTTTGGACCCAGTCCTGCCTCTTCACTCTGTGGGACCTACCAGCCTCCCACTCTCCCAGATGCCCACTCCTCTCTTAGAGAGAGTGAGAAAGAAATGAAAAAAAGGGAAGGAAAAGGAAAAGAAAAGCAAGTCACATTATAAGTGATACTAAGGGGGCTAGGTGCAGCGGCTCACGCCTGTAATCCCAGCACTTTAGGAAGCCAAGGCAGGAGGATTGCTTGAGGCCAGGAGTTCAAGACCAATCTGGGCAATATGATACCTCAACATAGTGTCTCAATACAGTGTTCACATTGTTGTATTGTCTGTCTCTACAAAAATTTTAAAAATGAGCCAGGCATGGTGGTAACCGCCGGTAGTCCTAGCTATTCAGGAGGCTGAGGCAAGAAGATTGCCTGAGCTCAGGAGTTTGAGGTTACATTGAACTCTGATCATGCCACTGCACTCCAACCTAGGCAACAGAGTGACTCTGTCTCAATCAATCAATCAATAAAGGATACTAAGGATAATCTGGCCAAATAGGGCTGAGGGATGGGTACAGAAGATAGACTACATTGAGGGAGAGAGTTCTGAAATTAAGTGGGGAGAATCACCTGCTGCTCAGACCAGGGCAGCTCCCGGTAGTGTCTTCGGTTTGCTAGAAGAGCTGAGGAATCCAGCTGTAGCAGCTTTAATGGGAGCAGGGGAAGCAGGCAATCTGGCCAGGTGGTGGAAATAGGCTGCTGGCGGTGATGGGTATAGCAGTGTAGTGAGAGAGTCTAGACTTAGCACTCAGAGCAAAGGAACCATGGGGGCGGAAAGGGACCAAAGCTAGGGCAGAAGTGGAATGGCATTTGCCACTGTATCAATAAATGCCTAAGAGCCTCACACTGCAGGCTGCTGTGGTCAAGTTCTGCTGCTAGTTAGGCACCAGATGAACAAAGTTCCTTAGCTTCTCTGAGCACTGGTCTTTTCATCTGAAAGCAGGTGGTTGGCCTGGAAGATTTCTCAGGCCCTTCCAGATTTGACATTCTGGGACAATGTGGGTCATGCTGTCCTGCATCTGGAACTACTAATGGGTAAAGAGCTAACCTGAACTCTCAGGGCCACCGCAGGGTAGTGTGGGAGGCAGCACAAGCCATATGAAACTGCCCTGGAATGGAGAGAGGAGCTCAGTTGGGAGATCTCACACTTACCTGACCAGGGATGCACACAGCTGGACCGGAACCTGTTGTACCCATATTTTTAACGCCATCTTTCACCTGCATGAGAATTGCTTGTGTGTGTGTGTCAGTGGGGAGGTATGAAAGGCCTTCCCTGGCCACAGGGAAGATGTCTTCCAACCAGAGAGAGCCCATAGCCCTGATTGTCTCATCCTCTTTGCTACCCTCATACCCGAAAGGTCTGCAGCAGTGCTGCGGTCTGGCAGGCTGAGAGGCGTGACAGTTCTGGGGCCAGGCAGGAACAGGCCCCAACCAGGACTCTCCTAGGAATGGCCTGGAGTGTCTGGGGGCTGAGGCCTGGCAGCAGAAGGTGCAAGGAGCACAGTTCCTCCAGGGATAGCTAAAGAGCAAGAGAGACAAGGCCTGAAGAAGGGTGGTGGGGAAGACAACAATCACAAGGCAGCAAGGCAGTAAGTACGACGGGAGCGGAGAGGGAGGAGGGGCAGATGCAGGAGCCAGGGAAAAAGGGAGACCTCTGGTGGGAGGCTGCGAAGTTGGTGCTACTCACATCGTGCCTGGGGAGGAGCCGTCCAAGCAGCAGGGCAGCCTGTGTAGGGATGGGACCAAAAACAACAGCTCTCAGGACCCAGCAGCCAGGTCCTTAGCAGCCTTCCTAGGGCAGGCCCTCCAAAACTTCCCACTCCCTCTTAACCATCCCCAGTAACCATCCTCAGTGACTCAGGTACCTTCTTGATCTGAGGAAGGGGAATGAAGGTGTCCACCTGCGGACAGTTTACCTCTACTGTTCACCCAGGGAAAAGAGGGGCTGGTTTTTTCCCTGAATGTGATTCTCTTGACTGGGGCTCAAGCGGGGATGGAGGGTGAATGCCAGGGAGTAAGACAGGCAAACCTGAGCAGGTGTAACACTAGTTCCCTGCAGGACAGGAAGCATGGCTCTAAGCTGGGGCTCTGACAGCTCCTGCAGGAAGCGGAGGCCCAGCTGTGGGAAGAGAGGGGCCCAGACCCGCAGTTCCCGGGGGCTCAGGACTGCTCCTCCAGATGAGCGCAACACCCCCAGAAGTTCATATGCCACCTGTAATCAAAGAAGGTTTGGGACTAGAGAGAAAAGACAGATGAACCTTCTTCCTCTCTTGATTTCCCAGAACCTGGGCTAGGGTTTGGAACTAGGGACTGGACTGGAGTGGATTAGGTTCAAAATGGCAACGGGTATGTTTGGGATGCCACAGACCAGATAGGGAAGGGCCAGAAAGAGGTGGTAACAGCTAAGAATGGCCGTGGAGTAAGGAATGGTGGTTGCAAAAGTGGAATGGGGGCTGGCACCGCTGTGCTCAAGCTTGGTTGACACAATGGGAAAGCCATCCACACAGACCCAGGGGAAGCCTAGAGTCTTGTAGGCTTGTGCTAAGGGGCTCACCCGTCCTTCTGGGCTGAGGGTCCCGTTGGCTGCACATTCCAGCAGCCCACGCTCTACTGGCCCCATCGGATCATTCAGGGGTACTAGGCTCTGCAGCTCCTCAGGGCTCAGGAAACAGGCGAGGGGCCCAAGCCTGAGGAGGGCATGAAGCTGACCTTCATATGGTCCCTGAGGCTGGCACTAAGGCAGGCCTGGCAGCAGATGGTATGGGTACATACACTGGGCACTCTGACCACTATACCACTACACAGGGGTACCATCTATAGACCTCTCTCCTAGAACTCCATGCTGCCTGGGGCCACTGCCTACTCTCTTGCCCCTTTCTTCCTAAAACACTGACCCACCATGACATCTGTACCTTTCTCTCTCTACCTCTTTCACTCTGGCCTTGATTACTGATCCCATGACAACTCACCTGCGTACCTGCTCCTCTCCATCCTGGACACTCTGGTTTACCAGGCTGCGCAGCACATGGCGGGCATGCCCTGGCCCCAGACCTGCTGCTGGCCAGCTATCCTCCAGGGCCTGGATCTGAGATGGGGAAGGTCAGCTCACACTGGGGTCACTGTGGAGCTCTTGCAGGGAGGTGCCACTGAGAGACATGCCATTGACTCTCATCCCCACTAGCAGAAGATGGGCCAGTCAAGTAAAGATGATGATTCTCATACCTGGTGAGGGCTGAGCTGCAGAAAGTTCTCCAGAGGGAGGTGGGGGAGCAGGGGCAGCACAGCCCACAGCAGCTCCTGGGGCCAGGCAGGCACTTCCCCAAATAGTTCAGGGGCCAGCAGTCGCTTTGCCAGAGCCTCCTTCTGTTCAGGCCTCATTCCTGGGCTGTAATCCCGGATGGCAGCCAGGCTGCGGGCAGCAATGGATCTTAATCCTTTGTCTTCTTTAAAACTGTTTTTCCCTGGCCCTCTGTAACCCTGGTGTCTAGATAGGAAGGAGACTATCCCTGGTTTTAATAGAGAGGAGCTCTCTGATCCTTTTGTAGTTCATCAGCATGATGATTGGGTTTTCACTCAGGTGTGAGATGTGCCTCTCTCAAATCTTGTTACATGTTGGCACATTACCTATCTGGCACGAAAGAAAAAAAACAGAGAGGAGCTCTGGAAGGGGCTGCTCCAGGTGGATGGGGCTGCTTGCTTGACCCTGACAGGAGCAGGATGAGTAGTACAGGAAACTTACACACTGTCATTGGCTAACAGGGATGGTGGGAAGCGCAACAGGTCAGAGACAGCCAAGAAAGGGATGAGTGGTGACAGGTCAATGAAGAGCTGGGAGGTGAGGCGAGGGTACCGCTGGAGCAGCAGAGCTGTCAGGTGACCCAGGGCCTGCTCCTCGGATGGTGGTACCTGTGGGGGCACAGGAATGGATTCTGGCTCTGACGATGCTCAGTATCCCTGCCATTTCCTCTCTGGAGTTCCTCCTCCCACTAAGGCAAGTCCTCTGAACACTAGGCTCCAGGTGCCCTTGCTCCCCTTTCCCTCTATGCTCACCTGCAGCTTCCCCTGCAACATGAGGGTCAGGAAGCCCTGTGCAGCCTCCCTCTCTGCTGAAAGCACCAGCTGCTGGAGGTTTTCTGGGGGCATATGCAGGTACGCCTGCAAATAGCAGGTCATGGCAGGTATGGCCTCAGGGAGCAGGGACCTCCAGCCAGGCTGTTACCCAGCCCATCCTTGTGCCCTCCACTAGAATTTTTACCTGCACTAGAATCTTCAGGACCCAAACACTCTTTTCCCTCTGGAGTAGATCCCACAGCACAGACTGGTGGGAAGAAAAACAAGATGCAAACAGAGCTGTCTTCTTTGTCTCTCTTGCAGCTCCAGAGGGATTCCAACTCCACTTGCTGGGATGCTTGTCCTTCATCTCAAGTGTGATTCTTCAGCTATTAAGCTCATTTAGGTCCAGGATAATGTCTCTAATTTCTCTCGTACCCTCTCCCATGCCAGTTTATAGTTGGCTCAATAAATTCTTGTAGACCTGAACCAAATACTATGACTATTTAATTCTCTTTTACTGGGCCCAGGGCTTGAAAAAAGGTGGCCCTATCATGGGGTAAGGAGTTTATATATATCCTGCAGAACCTAGCAAAGTACCTTGCATATAACAGGCAGTCCGTGAATGAATTGTGGTATTTAACGTGTTCTAACCCCTCCATTCTACAGAGTAAAACCTGAAGCCCAGAAAAACTAAATTAAATTGCTTGCCTAAGATCACACTAATTTGTGGCACCGTTGAAACTAGAACCAAAGTCTTCTGATCAGTAGTGTCCCTGAATCTTTCTCATTCTTGCCCTATCTTCCTGTATTTGGCCAGCCTCCAATTCTCACTCTCTAGGGGAAAAACTAGAGTCCTCTCATCTGATCCCTTTTCTTTCTGGTGCAGAAAGGGGGAGTCAAAGAGCCCACAAGAATAGCAAGGTAACATTTACTGTACATTTATGTATGATGCACTGTGCTATGTCCACAGCATGTATCATCTCATATACCATTATCATCCCCAGTTTATAGATGAGAAAACTATTGCTCAGAGGAGTTAAACAATTCATTCAAGGCTGGTCACAGAACCAAGATATGAATCCAAGCCTGTCTGACTCTAGAGCTGTGTGCTTAAACTACTACCCTATACTGCTGCCTCTCAGTATTCTAGGAATTCCCCTGGTGGCCCTTCTCACTGTTCCAGGAGCTTTCGCTCTGGTAGAGCACTCACACTAAAGCAGGCCAGCAGCTCCATCTTGCTTATACCAGAGCTGGGGTTGACAGTGGGTTCAAAGCCTGGTGGCGCTGGTTGCTCCTCCTCTTGTTCCAGGTATTCCCCAATCGTTCGTAGCACACTGAGCCGGCCCTCTGGGCGGAAGGCATCCCAGAAGGAGCAGTTGTCTGGGAGACTAGAGAGGAGTAGGGCCCGACCCAGCATCCCCTGGGCCTCGGCCCCTCCAGCTCCTGGACCCAAGAGGAAGGTCAGCAGGCGCAGGAGATAGTGTAGGCGTGTGGGGTTAGCAAGGGCTGGCACAGAGGACTGACAGCGTGGCAATTGGGATAGCAGGCCAAGCAGGAAGGGCCCGGGGGCCAGACAGAGTGGGGATGGTCCCAATGGTGGCAGAGAGGGCAAAAGGGGGCCCAGCAGCCCTTCTAGGAAGCAAGTGTCATTGCCCCCACGGCTTATCCTGCATTGGCTTGCTAGCCAAGGCCAGAAGGGCACCAGGGACTCATACATGGTGTCATTGGCACAGACCATCACCAGGAAGCTGCCCCCATCTGGGCAGCGTTCCCCACAGGGTCCAATGTGGCAGGGTGGGGAGGCAGTGACATCTAGGGTAGGGCCCTGGCACACATGCTGGACCCAAGCCTGGTTGCTGGGAGGCACAGCTTGTAGACTTGCCTCCCCACACAGCCGCTCAGCCCACAGAGTCTCATTCTCCAAGAAGCAGCCCCAGAAGATGTCTGGGGTGAGGGGAGCAGGGGGCAGGCCTTCAGGGCAGCTGGTAGGGGGTGGGAGCAGGTCAGCACAGAGCCGCTTTACCAGGCGGCGGTTGGAGCCAGACAGGGCTGAAAAGGAGAGATTGCTACAGACTGCATCCAGAAACTCACCAGGAAACTGGTCATGGCAGGCCTGTAGCCAGCCTTGAGCACCTGGTGCCCATGAGACTGCATACCACACAGCTGTCTGGCAGATGGCAGTGGTGCTGGGAGGGGACTGTGGAGTGGCAGGCTTGGTGTGCTGGCAGAGCAAGTGAATGGAGAAGTTGGAAATGCTGTAGGGTGGTGCTGGGCCTGACTGGTTCTCACAGAGGGCCTCCACAGTGATGGCTCGCCGTTGGCGTGGGCTCATATGGGCTGAGGGCTGAGAAGCTCTGGGCAGAGGCACACCCGTGCTCAGGCAGTGGAGGAGGGCAGGGGGTGGGGGTGGTGATCCAGACAGAAAGCCCAGCGCCTGGACATCCCAGGAAAGGTTGTGCCGGATGCCCCTGGGTGCAGAGGGAGGAGCAGGTAGGATCTGGTCAGTTCACATTTCCTCCAGCTGAATATTCTGACCCTGACCTAGAGCCCCTCAAGGGACATGGCAAACATGGGCTTTTTTACAAGTGAGGTTCCTAAGAGTTTAGGCATTAGTGGCTGAAATGTTGCAATGCGGCAAGAGGGAGAGAGCTGCCTTGCCAAGGCCCAAAATCACCTAGGAGAAGACCCAGTTGGTATTCTTTCTGCCCACCTGGCCCCTTTTTTTTCCTTCATTCATATGCTTTTAGATAGCTTAAACACAACCCCCAGCGGGCCTCTTGTCAGGAAATCTGCTCAGCAACTCAATATGTCTAACTGTGCTCTGGCACTATTGTACTGAAGTGGTAAGGGGGTAGAGGAATCCATTTGTGTCCTCATTTTTCATATCCCATCTTTATTAACTAACGTATTAACCACTATGTGCCAGCAGTGTTTTAAGTTGTTTGCATATACAGTATCAAGTCATTTAATCTGGTGCAACAACTCTGTGGTAACTAATATTATCATTCTTGTTTTATAAATCGGGAAACTGAGGTATAGAAAGACTATGTAACCTGCTTGAGGTCATATGGCTAAGAAGAGGTGGAGCTGGGACACCAACTCACTCCAAAACCACTAAACCACACTCCTCCCAGCAGTTTCCACTTCCTCTCTGAAGGCTCATGTCTTCAGCTCTCCACCTCCAGACTTCCCAGGCCCATTCCCTCAGAAGTGGTCCGCTATTACTTACCATAAGAGCAGCTGTTGAAGGTTACCTAGGAGGAAAAGAGTAAGGAAAAGAACTACCCCAATCTCCCTTTTCTTGCCCTGCCACATCCCAACCCCAGCCCTGGCCACACTCACCTCCCTGGCACTGCCCATTGGAATCAGGCTCTGGCTGCCCCAGAATGGAAAAGACCTCATCCTGCAGGGAGTGAGTGACACGGAGCAGGCCCTCCTGAAAGGCAGCATAGAGGGGGGCCCCCACTGTGCGTAGCAGACCGCCCCAAAGAGCCTCCTCGGAGCCTAGCTCCCCTGTTGGGGTTAGCAAACCCAACAGACCCTGCAAAAAGTGAGGAGTTGGCTCCCTCCCATCAAGGCCTGTGGCATTGGTGGGGTCTGCACTGGGCTGCACCTGCACCAGAGCCTGCCAGCGTGTGCCCTCTAACAACAGCAGCAAAGAAGGCAACCAGTCAGCAGCGAGGACACAGTCGGAGGGCCCATCACGGGTGCATGGGGGCCGAGTTGGGGTAGAGGGACCCCCAGGAACTAAGGCTCCCAGCAGCACCTCCATGAGTCCACCCAGCACCCCTGCCTGGTGCACCAAGAAATCTCGGGGAGTCTGCTCCTGTCCCAGCAGTGCCAGCACATCCCCCAGCAGCCCTAGCATTGGCTCCCAGTCGGGGCTGCCTCTCAGCGTCACTAGAAAATCATGGAGCCGGAGAGCAGGGGGCTGGAGAGGTGGGGGCTCTCCTACTGGTCCCTCCTCCATTCTCCCAGGCTCAAAGGAAGAAGAAATATTGGCCAGGAATGTAGAGAACCGTGAGCGGCTGAGGGAGCCCTGGGGAGCCTGGTCCAGAGTGGAGAGCAATGACTTCAGGAAGGAGAGACCAGGGTCCAGGGACTGAGGCCCAGTAGGAGCCAGAGTCACTGTAAGGAGAGAAACCAGAGGTTACTAAAGAGGAGGAACCTAGAGCCCAAAGAGCCCTGCCCCTGAGCACCATTCCCTACCTGGATCTAAAGATGAGGTGAGGGGATGGTGAGCTGAGCCCTGCTGGGTGGCCCACAGTAAGTCTCAGCCTGCCTTTCTTAACCCTCATTGTCTTCCTTTGCACAAGTCTCTGCCTCCCTCCTTTGTCCTTTTATCTAATAGGTTAATCTCCACATTCTTAATGTCTTTTTCTAGCCACCCTTCTCCTCCTCATCCCCAGTTCTGCTCACTGTTCTTCTCACCTGTGCAGGACAGCAGCAGCAGCAGTGGCCAGAGGCTCAAAGCCATGTTTCCAGGTGAACACTGGTACTGGAGGTGGTGAGTCCTGGTTATTCTCACCTGTGGGATAGCCAGGTGAGGACACGGCACTACAGGCAGCCTGAGGCTCCACT